GAGACCCTGTCTCTAAATACAAAATACAGCTACGGATGTGGCTCAGTGGTCAAGTGCCACCCGCCGCCCCCCAGTTCAACCCCCAGTACCCACCCAAAAGTTATTTTATACTGCATAAATATAGTCAGGAGGTTAAGCTACAGAGCTCTGAAACTGTCTTTTATTTTTTTTATTTATACTACCACCAATCCTATAAAGCACATTCCTTTAGTCCTAGAACAAGTATTCGTCATACTGATAATCATAGTATAAGTTTATATAATTCAATCTGATCCCTATTTAGAATTGAAGAAACTGAGGCTCAGAACTTGTCAACTTGCCCAACTTCACTATTAACAGCAGAAATTAGAACTCAATCACTTCCTTGATTATGAAATAACTCAAACATACAGAGTCATCTTCTTTCCTCTTCTTTTGCATCCCACATAAGGACAATGAATAAAAAACTGGCCTTAATTATTAACATTGATTACTGTTCTCACTTAAAATAGCAGTTACTTTTCTCAGAAATCAATTACCAACTAATTAATTAAAGTGCTAATTTCAATTCTTTTCCAACTGTTTCCCTCACATTCTTAATGAGCAGCTATTTTTTACAGACACTCTAAAAATGTCTCTCAAATTAATACAATTAATACACCCACTTATTTTCTTTAGACGATGTTATTTGATTGTTTTAAAAATTAACACTCTTTTTCACTTTTCAAAATCTATTCATACAAGATTAAATCTTTGGGGTGGCAACAGATAATCTATACTGTTAAGAAACCTCTTTGAATACAAAGGAAACGGTCTTAACATAATTGGAGATTTAACATTTTCTACCTCTCTGAGGAACTTTCCACTCTTCAAACATATTAAGACATCTGGACAAATACTATTTAAGAAAACATTTTCAATACAAATATCCAATTATTAAAACAAAATCCCTGTTATTTACAATTATTACCTTCATAATTGTGGTTAACAGCAAGAGAACACAATTATTTAGATCTTTGCCATTTCTCTGACCAAAAGCTTTCAATTCCTCTTTAAGAAGATGTTATAGATTTGTTTATAAAGTTTGAGCAACACCTATTATTCTCCATTTAGTATACCAACTAAAATATATACTTTATTATTTATATATACAAAATTTTACTTACATTTGATTCTTTGCTGCTTGCCTCTGAGCTTTTCTTTCTTTCCTTTTCTGATCTGGTGGCTTAGCAAAAACAATTTCAATATTTTCTCCCTCCAAGTCTTTTCCATTCATTTCTTCCATAGCCTTAAAAAATTAGATGACCATTATAAAAGTAGGTCCTTCAGAACAACTGCAACTAATTAAAGGGGGGTAAAAAACAAGCCATGTGTAGTGGCACATGCCTATAATCCCAGCAACTTGGGATGAGGCATGAGGATTGCAAGAAGTTTGAGATCAGCCTCACCAGCTTAAGACTCTCAACAGCACAGAAAGAATTTTGTATAAATTGTTWAAAAAAAAAAAAAAAAAAAGCTAGCTGTGGTAAAGCATCCCCTAAATTCAATCCTGAGCACCAAAAATAATTTTTTAAAAAAAAACGTTTATCATTATGTCGCAAAGAAAGCCTCATTGAAATAAAATAGGGCTGCAAGGTTTTACTAAACAATACAGTTCCACTATTCCATTTTTACATCGAAAACTGACTGACTCATCTCAACCAAGGCCAATAAATGTATGCTTCAGTTGGTTTGTAGCCTCTGCATTTCCAACTTCAAAAACTTATTATTGAGTCTATGACTAAAAACTGTTAGTATAATTCAGATGCCTATGGCATTATATCATTTATTTACCTTGACAGCACCATCTCGTTCATCAAAATGAATGAAAGCATAATCTTTTAGTTTCTTCACTCGTTCCAGTTTCCCAAACTGACTAAATGCCTTTTCTAAAATCTCTTCTGTTACGGTATTGGCAAGGTTGCGTACAAACAGCACTTTTACCTGAAATAAAAAAACAAATGTCCTGTATATTTCCAAAGAGTTAATGTCCAAGGTGCTACTATCTCACCCTGCAAAGTTAGATCGAATTGCAATCACAAGAACATCATGAAAAATTAATTTTTWAAAAAAAAATAAAAAATTAAAAAAGTTTTCAACTACTTTGAGGAAGTACTATGGAGTCAAGTTGTAGGATCAGGCCTTAAGACCTAAAACAGACACTTTACCAAAGAAGATGGTGAAGCTGTCTCTGAACAGATGCTCAACATCACTTCTCATTGGGGAACCCATAACAGTACTGAGGTAATACTATGTATCTAATAAACTGCCAAAATCCAAAACACTAATACCAAATGTAAATGAGGATGTGAAGCAACCAAACACTTATTCACTGATGGGGGAGAGGGATGCAAAATGGCACACCTTTGGAAAAGTTTGGCAGCTCCCTACAAAACTAAATACTCTTACTAAAAGATCCAGCAATCCTGCTTCCCAATATTTACCCAAGAGTTGAAAACTTACACTCAGATGAAAACCTTCACACAGATGTTTATAGCAGCCTTATTTATAATAGCCAAAAGCTGGAAGCATCCAAGATGCCTTTCAGCACATAAATGGAGAAGTAAACTGTGGTACATACAAAATGAGATATTCACCGCTATAAAGACATGAATTATAAAGCCACAGAAAGACATGGAAGATACTTCTTATACGCCTCTTAAAAGAAGCCAATCTGAAAAGTCTACATACTGCATGATCTGAAAAGTCTACATACGGCAAGATTCCAACTATACGACATTCTGAAAAGGCAAAATTGAGACAGTAAAAAATGATCAGTGATTGCCAGGGGCTGGAAGGTAGCAATGAAGAGGCGAAGAATAAAGGATTGTGGGATGGAACCTTCAGGAACTGGGGCCTCACAAGAAGAAGCTAGGTCACAAAAGTGTGCCCTTGGAAGGACATGGGAACTCAACCCTCCTCTTCCTCTCTATTGCCTGACTGCCATAAGATGAGAAGCTTCCTCTACTTCACATCCCACCATAATATACTGCCTTGCTATAAGCCCAGAAGCCAAGTCAGCCAAGTGACTGGAGACAGAATCCTTCTGCCAAAATAAACCTTCCTACCCTTTTTCATGTAATCTCAGTTACACGAAAAACTAACCAGCATGACATTATACATTTGTCAAAATTCATAAATGCACACCAAGAATGAACTCTAGTATGAACTATGAATTTTCAGTGTCCAACACTGGCTCAATTTTAACAAATGTACTAATCCAATGAAGGGTACTAACAGTGAGAAAAGCCCAGGACCAGATGGAGTGGGAAATCTATTTAAAAGGAAATACAGACTTTATACTTGGTTGCTTTTAATTATTAATTATTCTGCAATAAAAAGGGGATAGATATTTCCTAATAATGTGAACAAGACCCTCTAGGAGGGTTATTCAATGTTTAAACTAACACAAGTGAACAAAACTAATTAGGATCTGCTGCTGAAATCTTAGAGGAGGAAATATTTAAAATACTGGTAAGAGGGTAGGGATATAGTTTAGTGGCAGAACACATTCCTGGCCCTGGATTTAATCCCACCATTGAGGAGGGCAAAAAAAGATAAATTCTTATTTGAGAAGCTTTCTCAATATATAGTTAAAAAGTTAAGTTTTTTGGCTATAAAACATTACCCTTTCTCCTAAAATACCTGAATAGTACCCAAATTTATTAATCCAAAGTGGTAACCCCATAAAAGCTTTTTAAGTCTGAAGAAGCCCAAATATCTTCTGTCCAAGACCTTCACCTTTTAATAATACTGTTTTTCCGTCAGTTCTCACACACCCCTCTGACTGACACCTGGCCTATTAAAGGGAATCTCTAAAAGATAAAGCATAGAATAACTTAATTGCAAACTACACTAGTTTATAGTGAAGTGTTGACTCAAGATGTTTATTCTCACAGGATGTCTCAACTGATTGCTGAAGCAGGATGCCTAATAATAGCTAAACATTATAATTACAGCAGTTCTGCTGGGGCCAATACATCTCTCTATTTTTAGGAGTAAGACTTTTAACACAAAAAATATGTAAGCTAATGGCACAAGTCTCAAAAATTTTAAGAAATTGCTCTTAAAATCCACACAAATATGGCACTGAACCATTTTCTATGGCATATGGGCCACTTCATCATAAGATTATAATAGCTAAGTATCCATAATAAAATTTCCATATTCATTTTCCACACATATTGCTAGTATGTGGCCCCAAGGAAACAACACTTTTCTCAATTCAGAAATGTAATTTAAAACATGTACACAATTCATTTTATAAGTTTTCTCTCCTTTACCCATTAACCCCTCAAAAATATTTGCTTAACTCCCCTATTATTACCTTTGCCATAACTTCAGGATCAGGATCTTCTATGGGATCTGCCCATTCAACAGTTCCAACATTTCCCCAGACCTTGACTTTACCACTCATT